TATGAAAATAAGATTTAAAAAAATTAGCCTCTCCCCCAAACCTCCGAGCACAATGAAACAAGTTAGTTTTCCCCCAGAGTCTCTGGACACATATTGGAAGGATGATATAACTGGGTAATTCTCACACATTTTTCTAAGTGGCTACTGCAAGCATTTACACAGGTCTCCATGCAGGAGGTGACTGCACAGGGCCCAAGCCCGTGAGGTCGGAAGAGGCACAGAAGCAAGCGCATAATCTGTAACATACTTTCCACCTCACATGTAGGTACTTTTGCCAGAACGGACTAAACTCCAAAAGGGTTAAGAAAGCCACCATGCAGGGCTTTTGGAAGACAGCGAGGGGGGAAAGAACAGCTCTACTGTCCCCTGCATGAATACAGTAGCTAGTTTTGCTATGTTGCAATTCTTTATGCATTTATCAAGACTAATATATGTGTCAGTTTATGATGCGGAGAGAAATCAGAGACGACAATGGCATTCGGAAGTTGTCCAGATATGCCTCCGCCTCACCGGTCTTCATCCATTGGCCGTTACCGATCATAAGACACAATACTGCAGACTGTTGGAAACAGCAGCACTGTGCTGCAACCATATAAATTTGTTTAATTATATATTACCGTGTGCTGCTACAATACAGTCTCCTTTGTCAGTCAAGTTCCTGATTTCTTAAAGCCCAATAGCTCTCTTATAACTGAAATATGAATGGCTAAATCGATGTCGTCATTGTCTACTGTTCCTTCGTACAGTAATAATAATAAAAATCAGCAGCCGCAAAACCAGCCAACATGCATTTCTTTGACTAGGAACACCTAGAACAGCCACTGGGAAACCACATTAGGCAGAAACCAATTCCAAGTGTTTTCTGGTTCCAACACCGTGTACAAAGTGTGAGCAAAGGAAAAACAAATTCCCAAACCGGCACAAAAACACACTACACAGTAATTAAGTAGGACCTTCTAGTCAGACTTCTGTATGCGCCAGTGTTTCTTCCCGCTTCTAGGGGCGTATTTTAAGAACACTTTTAACCTTTCCACCCCTCTTTCAAAGTAAAGATCAAAGAAAAAAGTAGTTTCGATAGACACCTTCCACTTATGCAACACAGATTTAGACACCGCACTTCAAAACCCCAGCCGTTACTTCAGCATCCAGCAGTCCAAACATTATTTCAGTCCTTTGAAGCGGCTCTAATGGTATCTTCCATTTGCAAGTAACACTTCCCTAGTCAAAGATCTTACTCCGAGGAGATGTTAATGTAAAAGCACTCAGACTGCAGAGAGAGACGCACTCCTGGAGGCAGACTGCAAAGGTGTTTAGAAGTCAATGTAACACCATTATGGAGAGTGTCAGCTTAGTAGCTGTCATAAACACTTCATAATCACTCAGACACAAACTGGACTGCCTGCGGCACATTATTTTATTAAGTGCTGAATAGGAGTCCAATTGAATGAGGAAAGAAAGCACAATGCCGCAGATGACAGCCTGCATGTGTGGCTTTTCACGCAAACACTGAGACTGTTGCTTTTTTAAACTGAAAGCCCTTGTAAATATTAAAAATCTGAGACCTCTCTTAACAGAGATAACATCACCCAATTATAAACTAGAGACTCAATATGATGATATAGAAAAAGAGATAAGCATATTTTGTTCCAAAACACACACACACACACACACACACACACACACACACACACACACACATGCTGTTGCTAAGTAAAATGCATATATTTATATAGAAGGTCAATCAGACACGTCATTGCAAGCTCTCTTCTACCCCCTAAAAACCAAAACAAAAATCTTAAGAAAAGGGAAAGTTAGATTTGACTATGCCTAGACTTTTTAGAGGTCTTAGTTATAAAACCCTGACACCCAACAAAAATTAAGGTTAGGACAAACAAAAAGCAAACTGGGAAGTCAAACTAGGATATACATGCACACAATGTTGCTCATCATCTGTAGTAGGGCCGCTGCCTTAGATCTTGCAAACTCTATGTAAGAAGACTTAAAAAGAAGTGCCGTGGAACAGAGCTGACAGTCTTTCCTCACTCCTTCAGTGCAAACTTAATTGCAGTCAGGGATACCTCCGACACTGGGCCAGTTGGGGGCAGATATAATACCAGAATTAATTAAATTCCCCTGGTCCAGTTTTGCTTGTGTACACTGCTTTAAAAATTAGTAATCGTACAAACTCAAGAACTGAAACCAAAGAAGCCATCCAGGACTCCTCCTTTATAAAGCATTTATAAACATCCCAAAATGCTATAAATGTGCTTGGAAGAAATCAGTCAAGAAAGGCTTGGGTCTGACAAACTATGGTTTCAAGTATCCACATGGTATCACCTCCTTTCAAATGAATGAGAAACATGAATAATCATTTTCTACATTTTCTCCAAAAATACTTCCCTCTTTTCGAGTGGCCTCAAATCTTGATGGACATCTGATACCCTAAGTGCTGCATATCTCCTGACATCTATCCAAGCTACGACAACTCACGTTGTCAAGACACACGTATCAAATGCCACCTAAAGATAACCATCTCAATCTCATCAAGAATCTGCTCCAAAGATTCACTTGTCTGAATCTCTGCTTTATTTCAGAGCCTCGATTTCATGGTTTGTTACAACACTTCACGGTGTTTGAGCGCATGTGTTAGTTCAATACCCCATGCCCTTCAAAGTGACTGACCTAAATGAGTGGCACCAAATCCTCAGAAAACCCTTTAACTCTTCCATAAAATGCCACTGTGAGCATATCAACTTTGACACAAACGTTCTCCAGCATTCAGACAGTTGTTTATGGGCTAGTGAGAAGCATCGGCATGGAAAAATAGACAATACTAGCAGGTATTTGGGACTTCAATTCCATTTTTCTTATATGCTGTCAAATGCAAAAAAAAGCAAGATATTTAGTACTGAAACACAAGGACATGGCAAGGGTGCTGGGGAGAATGCTGATGGACTGGCGTGGAGCTTCTTTTGCTGACAGAGGTGACAAAGTGGTGAATATGGTACTCTGTGACATAACTATGTTACCTTCAGGCAGAGTCCCATTCCCCTAAAAGGAGGAAAATTGAGTTTGCCAAGACATTCTTATTCCACTCCTCTGACAAAAAAGACAAAAAAAAAAGGTCCCATCTCATGGAAACCTCCCCCGAGAACAAGGATACAAAAGGCTTCCACCAAGGAGACTTCTTTACATGACCGCAGACAGTCATTTGAGAGGGATGCAAGGAACTCTCACCTCAGCCTGAAAGTAATGCCTTGCTGCATCCCCCAAGAACCAGCTACTCTGATCGAGACAAACTAACTCAGGGGTTCCCAAAGATTTTATGCCGCGGCCCAGCAAACCGCAGCCCAGAAGTGGCTGCAGACCGGCAAACCATATCAACTGGTCATAACAAATCTACAAAACTATGCAAAATAGGTGTCTACTTCTGCCCACCTTCAAGGAAACCCTTTTCCATTTTGAAAAGATCAAATTTGAGCATGTTCAGACAAATTGAAGAAATGTCACTAACCTCGATCTGAGTAATTATTATGCATCCTAACCACTTTTTATTGGAAGTTCTGTTAGAATTTCAGTTACTGCTGCAGCTGTAATACTCTATTTCTTAGCTCGATATCTTAGTGACACCTAATGTTTGGTTTCTGTAGTACACTTTGAAGATAGGCGTAATGATTTCTAACTGCTAACTTTGGTATAGAAATGTAAAAATATTTCATGTTTAAGAAGTTAACTGCATACAAAACTGATTATGCATTGTTTGGATTTTTTTTAGTGACAATTATTTCAAGAGACTAAAGGAAATGTAAAAAAAACCCCTTTATTTTGCTACAACATTACATGAAAAAACAAACAAACCTTTCAAAACAAAAATAAAACAGCATTGAAAACTCCCTCTGCTACCTCCAAAATATCATCTTGAATACTAGAAATCCTCAGTAAGTCCTCAGGAAATGCAAGTAGAAATACCAGTTCTCAAACTCTACATGAAGTTTTACACAGTGTATTAGGGTCTAATCAAATTGCTGGCTTTTGGTTTTCATTTTTGTTTCCTCCTCAGAGAAAAAAGGGTACATATTCCAGTTTTCTCCTCTTGTAATACTAAAGTGCTAGTCTTAAACACAGGTCTCAATAAGGTATGCAATATGCCTTTACAAAGAGCAAAAGGAAAAAAAAATCCACCGTGTTTTCTTAAGTGTAGCTTGGCTTGATAAACCTATCCTCTTCTATACCAATGAATAAATGTAAAACAAGAACCTTTTTATAGAAACTCCTTGCGTTACATGCAGAGGAGGAGAAATTTCATCCTCACTAGGTTTTTTCTCAAGTACAAGGTGTTGTACACACTGGTTTTTATGAGTTAAGAATTTTATCACATACTGTATTAAACGTCCTCCTAAAGTTCAAGAAATTTGGGGAAAATTCCCCAAATTGAGTCCATGTGCTCGTAACTATTCTGGAACACAAACTGCGTGGTACATTTGACAGAATAAAATCAAACCCATATGCGCATATAGACTTTAATAAAATTAAAATTGCAAATCATGCACATGACAAACACTGCGATTGTAAAATACTGTTAGGCCTGCATTCCTAGAAAAAAGGACAAGCTTTTCACATTTTTTCCCCTAAAGAAACAAGGTTTTGCCATTGCCTCCTTCTTGTGGACCTTTTTGATTATTTCCCCATATTCGTAATACTGATTTCTCTGAAGTGTTACTGTACTCTACTCTGATCAGATTCTGGAAATGTATTTTAAAAGCAATTATCTGGGGGGGGGAAGGGGAGGGGGGAAATCAGATTTGAAGTAGCTGAATTTAAGTTTGAGGCATACCAAATATTAATCTTTTTAATATGGGTGAATGCTGAATCTTTCTAATACTGAGTAGGAAATAGTTAAAGTAGTACAACTACATTCTATTCCAAAAATTTAGATATGGTTTAACAACAGTATCTGGGTAAGTCTTAATGTCTGAAGGTGAAGTTTACGGTGTACTTACAGGTATGCTCCATATCTGCATTCCATCACTGTATCCAATCATTAGCAGCAAAGGGGGTTCATTTCCAGTACTGTGTATTTCATGAAGCTCCATATTCCTTGACGTATCTAAAGTGGGTTTGATTATCGGAGCAAAGATATCTAGTTAAAACCAATCAGTCTTAGCACAGTTACACTGTATGCCTTTTTCTAAATCCATGTTCCCATTACTACAACTAAAGGTAAAACCAAAGTGTTTCCAGCCTTTACATTCCTACGACTGAAAAAAAAAAATAGTGGGACACAGCCCTTAGACATAAGGAGTAGGCTCAGTAAACAGAATTTCAAGTGAGAGGATACAACATGTCAGTGCAGATGGAAAGATGCTGGGATATTTCCTATCCCACCTCACAAAGCCAGCTCTCACTGGCTGCCCCAAGGATTTCTGTTAGTTCTACCTTCTGTGGTTAACATGACACGGTAAAGTTAATTTTCTAGACGTAACAAGAAGTCCTTGCAATAGGCCTCTTCACATTTCATATCTACCACTCTGAAGCCAACTTTATAAGATCTGCAGAGTCTACAGTGTTCTGCTGAGATATTATTTATTAACAGAGATTACTAGTGCCTTGTGGAAGATACATTACACAAAGAAAATAGAGGGATCAAAGATGTCTTCTTTAATACGTTCTCATTTTAGAACAGAGGAAATTCATAGGGGAGAAAAACATATACTTATGTAGCACTTCTACAAATCAAAACTACTTAGAAATACCACCTAATTAATCTTCACAACATCCCCACGAGGAAGACAATTCCCATAAAAACATCATAGTGCTTGAGGAAAATATGAAGACAAGCTAAATGCAAGCCAAAATAACCAAATGTGTATAACTTTACCTGGGCCTCTCTTCATTAGAGTGTAAATCATCACTTTTTAAAAGCATGCAAAGATGAAAAATTATGGGGGGGGTGGGGGTGCAAGCAGGTTAAATAAAACTAACAGGATTAAATTGGACAAAGGTAAGTTTAGACTAGTGGTCTGACTAAATGCAAGAGATTGTCTATTAGACAGCAAAGCAGACTCTTCAAGGGAAGAGGCTAGAATACTTAAGATGGACAGTGAGGGAAAACAAAAAACAGCAGGGAACAATATGCACTGGCTAGAGCTGCAGGCAATGACTCACACAGATCAATAGGCCTTTTACCATCTCCATCTTCTGTGAATTTTAGACCCAGCAGCCTTTGTGCCATTCCAAAGGATGTAAATCATGTAACCTGTCCTACATGCCATAAAGATTCCCAACCCCAGCCCTGGGCCATGCTATTGAGTCTCATCTGGAACAAGAGCAAGTCCTGACCACTGGGACAAAAAGAGCAGACTAAAGATGCAGTCAAGAAGCAAACCTCGATGGAGTTTCAAACCATTGTGCTCCAGAAGGTTCCAGAGGATTTGGACAGCTGCCTGCAACTACATGACTAGTACAAACAAATTGACATGCACTATTAACACCCATATGAGTGCAAGATGTTTTGATTCGCTCAAGCAAATACTCATCTGACCGTTATTCATTTGACACTGAACCGACCTTACCAATCATGTTGTCTATAACCTGTCTTATTTGAAAAGAGATTACTGGGAAAGAGTGAGGCAAAACATCTTAAGTGGCTACCACAGAATATGGATTATGTCACTGCACCAGTTCACTGTGTGGGAATGAGGCTGGTGGGAGAGATCAAGTGATTTAAACTAGGAATCAACCAGTCCACTAGCTATACCCAATTCAACATTTTAATTTCAACCAATTTGAATAATGGGAGGGATCAGAGACTTCCTTTGGAATCTGCTTCCCTCACTTCTTCAAAGCCAGAGTTTGCTCATCTTCAAAAGATGTTTCAGATACACTCAGGATGTTGCCTGACAAACTCTGCCATGAACGTGCCTGTTCTTTATAAAGCTATTCTTCATGCGCAAACTTTTGTCTATATTGCAATTTTATGCTTTTGCTGGCTCAGATTGTTGTGCATAAGCCTAAGAGATACAAGAATAAAAATAAGTTGGAGAAGAAAATAGTCATACCATTTATGTCTGCATTTTCAAATCTGACCCAGACTATTTTTTCTTTTTCTTCTGTTGGTGGAGTACTGCTGTAGGCCTACAACAAAAGCAGAAAAGCTGATAAGAAAACAAAGTTTAATTGTTTTCCTTCCTCTATAAATTACATCAGGAACAGCAAGGCGAAAAAAACTCACACACACACACACACACACAACAGTATTCCAGCATATACCTTTTCTTAGATACATTTAAAATTAAGTATGCTCACCATGAAATCCTTCATTTTAAAATACAAAATATAATTCAGTTAGTCTAGCTCGTTAATGGAAAAAAAAATGACATGCAAGTCCACAGCTTTCCAGAAGCAGTGTAGATATGCTAACTGGCTTTGGATTTTTTCAGTAATATATACCATGTTCTGATTATAAGTTCACCCTGCATCTAGGCCCAGCCCACATTTTCAGGTTTGATTTTAGAGGGGGGAAAAAGTGTCTTGCCAGAATATTAGCTGATAAGTACAGAAAAAAGACTTTGAACTGCTGTTGCGCTTATGAAATCCCAAAAGAGAATCAAAAATCTAGGAGGGCTTAAAGAGTTAAATGCACTCAAAATACTAAAAACTGCACTTAACTGTATGCACAGACAGACCGCAAATATAAAAGTCAGGACTGTAGTGGGCCCATTACAGGTCAGCCCCATAAGTCAAATGTAACGCTGATGGTTCTTTTGGACGGAAAAAAGGCGACAAGACTTATAATCAGAACAATAACAGTACCTGTCTTTGTGCTAAACAGACTAAGACAAAAGTTTTAATAATCCTTGATTTTATCAGTGAAAACATATCTCTATGTGGAGCATACTCATTTTTAAATTCCTTTTTGATGCACTTAAAAACATTATAAGCAACAGTGCAAAACACAAGAGGTCTTTACTATGGAATTTTCATTATAATCATGACATTAATATACCCAACATGTTTAAGTTCGGAAATGAATACTGTATAACTCCAGCAAAGCACATCCATACTTCAGTTAAATATATTCTGCAGATACCCCTAAACGGATGCGATACAAAGAAACTCTGAAATGGAGCTTTTTGGTGCTTCTAGGCTGCACAAGTTTTACAGTTCTCAGGAGAGGCTGTGGTAGTCAGAACATGAGTTACAATGGAAAAAACATAGTTTCCAACTGAATTATTGCAAAATACTGTGCAGCATTTTGGATTTTAAATGAAAAGAACTTGTATAATCACTTTATGCATACCAGATAGACAATAATATGAACTGAAAATATAAATGAAAAAAATTAGTGGTGGTATTACTTTTCAAAACAAGGCATGTTCCATGTTTTCAAAGCAAACTGGTTTGTAAAGTTAGACACAGATTGCATCATTTTAACTACAGAAAAAGATTCTAGGGGAAAAAAACCACATACACATACACACCCTTTAACTGCAAATTTGACTATGCTTCATTTCATCATGGCTTTAAAAAATGCATTTGACAAATTACCAGTAATGAGCAGGAAACTTCTCTCAGGGAGAGGGAGAGAGTTGCCAATTTAAAAAAAAAAAAAAAAAAGAAATGGTTTCTGGAGTTGAACTCACCTTCCAGATATAAGCCAACATATTGCTGCCTTCCTGAGTCTAGAGATGAATAGCTGCAGTGTCTTTACTACTGCCCACTGCTTTTCCAGACACTAGCAGCATGAAATTACCATTCTGGTTAGTCTCCCCCTGCTACTTACAGGCCTGTGGGCACTAGGGCAGTGATCACAATCACTAATTTCAATTGTTGCTGAGGAAAGCTATGAACAGCAAAGACCAGCATCAAAGCTATTCTCCCCAAAGGACAATTCAAGAACTACAGCCTGCAGGAGAAAGCAGTGGCAAACTCATCTGGTTCCCCTCACTCACAGCAAGCTAGAGGCTGTAGGGGAATAGATTAGCAGGTTCCCCCAACCCTAAAGAATCAGGAGGTTCTAGAGCAAGTGAAGAGAGGATGGGGGGACAACAAGATTGAAACAACACATAGGATCCTAAGCACGGTCCAGAAATAGCACCTGGGTAAGTGCTCCAGTATCCGAAGGGCTGGACCCTACCAGTGTGTTCTCCATCTGCCTCACAAGTAGATCTCCTTCACTGATACATCTTTAAGTATCGGAACAGCTAAATCATCTTCCTAGTACTTCCCCCACTCCCCAAACAGACTTCAATGCATTAAGATTTTCACTTAACTAATGATTTTAGGTGCCCAACTGAAGAACCCACAAAGGGGCCTGACTTGCAGACAGCTTCAGAAGACAGTCCTCCGTTAATTGTCTAAGACCCCCTATAAGGGGTCTCAAATGGTGCACTTAAAATAAAGCATTGAAAATTACTCTTAAAAAGCCTTGGCCCTTTAAAGTTATGCATAGATTGGACCAAAAATATCACTATTTATCTTCAATAACCTTTCTGTATTGGTTATCCAATTGGCAAAGAGGTTTTTTTTGGCTTTTATGAAAGATACACATTTACCTGCGGTACAACATCTTGAAGAAATGTAACAACACTTTCCATATATGACTGTTCTCTGGAAGACAAGAAAAAGGAGTTGTTAATTATCTGGAATGTCTAAAATAGGATGTGAATACATCGCATGGACATAAACACAAGTGCATGCACCACCAAGGAAATGATGCATGTTATGTTTCAGTTTAGATTGCCTGCTAAATGCTGAATAGAACAGAAAAAAAAAAATCTTAAAAAGAATCTCTATTTTTATAAGGATACAGACTTACATTTGCACCATATGGTAGAAGCAACTTTAATTTCGGCATGTATTTTATAAATAAATTAATTGGTTTGCAGTGCCAAGACTGACATGCAAACCTCCATACTTCCCTTACAGTGTTACAGGAATATCAAGTTAACACGTAGGAGAGTATAATTAAACATGCTGGATTTTAGGCAAAGTACTGAAAAGTCTGGGACTCACTACCTTAATAAACCACCCAACCACGTAACGTAACGAAACCACAGTCTGCAAGGGGGTAATAGGGCAGCAGACTGACAAAATATAAAAGGAAGAGAAAGTTAAGTCAAAGGAGAGCTGGAGTCCTCTTCCCTCCTGACAGTTAAAGCGGGGCAAGCCTTTGGGAAATATTGCTCAGCTTTTTTCCAGTTGATTTGCTTTTTTGTTTTTCAGTGACTTTGTGGACAATAAAACAAGCCCTGAGGAAAAGGCCTTAAAAAGAATAGTGTCTGGAACATTTCTTTCCCTGGGCAAGAGGAACTACCTGCTGGCTTACATGTGCTATGTAGCATGTTGAAGTCAAATTGCTGGACCCATCTACCGTCAGCTTCCAAGATAAAACTGGCTAAGAGCAAGAGGAAGGCATTTTCAGTACAGTGCATTTAGGCCTGTAAAACTCACTGCTCCTGGCAATTCATTAGCAGCTGCAGTTAAGCAGGCGATGATGTATGCTGCAAGATAGTTTAAATGTACCGGAACAAAATGTAAGGCTTTTTTTTTTTTAAAGATTATTTTACAAGAGAGGTGAGCCAAGTATGCTGTGCAGCTAATGAGCAACAAAATAAGGCTGGTGTATATGCAAGAAATGTATATTTTCTATAAAGCATGGCAACTGATTGCTGTAGCAATACACACTGTGTTCAACTGCTGATGTAAATCTAAACAAAGACAATTAGCAATTTTCCAAGCTCTCATCCACCAAAAAGCTTTGGAAGATTCCAAATTTATGATTATTTTTGGCAGACATTCTTTACATATTAAATAAGACCTGTGTTGTTCAAACTCGGCATATGAATCACAAGAAAGAAATTGGATCACCGTTGACAGAGTTTGTAGAACTGTGTGGGAAATCCAGATTCTTCATACCAAAAAACTTAGTCACTTTCTAGTTTTTCTCCTAAAACAGAACTGTACAAATATTATGCACACACAAAGAAAAGATTACATCTTTTAAACAATGAGGCTTCCTCCAGCAAAGACAGTAGTATGGCAGAAGACATAAGTTTCTGCATACACTTGTATGCCACAGACTCTGAATCGAGACTGACAAAACTGGATTTAAAGATTACAAAGCTAATCAGAATTTATTTTAGTGGTTCGATAGAAAAGTTGGCCATAGGACTCCTGTATTTTTCCTCCTCTTCTTTCTGCAACTAACCTACTGGATGTCCTGGCCAAGTCATAATTTTTCCATGCCCATTTGTAAAAAAAGAGGTGTAATACAGTATAATTAATGTATGAAATTCTCAGGTGATAGTCCATCAGCAACCATCATAACAGTAGAGTGGTAATGACTTCATTGCTCATTTCAGAGATGAAAATGAACATTGAACCCTTCCAAGGTACACTGCTTGTGGATAAAGCAAGCAGATGTGTTTTGTTCAGTAAATGTAACCTAAATCTCTCTTGAAAGAAATTATGTCATGTGGAACAGCCAGAGTGCTGCAGGCTAATAACTTCAAAATGCTTATTTTTAAAACCCAAGAGATTTCTAACTAGCTTCTACGGGGGGACTGAAATCTGTGTTTGAGGCCAAACACAAACCTGTCTCTTGCACATGTCCCTCTTATGTTTTGTACAATAAATGTTGCCATTATTTTTATATATAACCTAGGAATTCAAAACAATGGCAGAAGGCTGAAATTTGTACCATGTTACCTAAAAAAAGTTAAAATTCTGATATAAAAGAGGATACCTATTCAGGTATCCGCTGTTCAGGTTGGCACAACATAACGTGTAACAAATCACCACACCTCCTCACATGCACATATATGGCATGCAGATAAGTAAAGCACACTGTAGGAGCATTTACATGTGCAGCAGACTGTGCAGTAACTCGCGCTACTGTGCAGTCCTGATGCCGCACAGTTATTTTTAGCAGCTACTGTGCAGTGGCTTGTTGCTACCATGCAGTAGCATCGGCGTCACAGTTTGTGCCGGGTGACGCTATGGCGATATAGCATCTCACGTAGACGTGCCCTGTAAGTACATAATTAAACTTACCTATAGAATATAGCGAGAGTCCCAATGTTACTTATTGCGTGCACTGTAACATAACTAATATGCAGAGATAACCACTGTACATGCACAAACTGCTTAAGTGTGTAGCATCTTTCAGCCCTGATGTCCACTCTGTCATTTGATTGTACTGCAGTAAAACCGCATGCTAATTGCAACTATAACCTACTTTGTAACTAATTATACTCTGTTTAAGTGGGTCAGAAACAGTGAAAGGGAAGCACCTGTCAAGGGGCTGACATAAGAAGCCTTGAAATTGAGGGGAGCTACTCAGTTTCAGGGCTCTCACTAGCACAGCACTGACAGCAATGCATGTTGATGCACAGTGCTGTGATATTAGCATTTCTTCCCTCCCATAGTAGCCTGGGTTGCAAGAACCTTCTCACGGAGTTATAGGAACAACTTTATTCTATTTGCTCCAGGTCAGACCAAACAGATCCTGATTTGTTTGCTCATATATATTAGCTCTTATATGCACGTAAGAGTTGCCAAAGCAGGTAGAAGGTGTAGGGGTTTAGATTGTAGCCACGTTGGTCTAAGGACATAGGCAGACAGTAGGTAGAAGGTGTAAGCATTTGAATACAGTACCATATTGCAATGACAATTCAGCAGCATAACATCACCCCTAAAGAAATTATGCCGCTACACAACAGCTTATGACAGGCAAAGCCAAGTCCACTGGTTTTCTGGATCCTCTCACAGAGAAAGTCCACCGTGCTTCTGTGAGTGAAGGGTGGTAATTGAGGAGGCATGACAAAAGCAAGAAACTCTTACTTATATGCTGTGTTTTGGCTGGCCATAAATTCTTCTGTGCTAGCACCATAATGAAATCCACAACTGCACTCATTGGCACATTAGCTTTCTATGTTGTAACTTAATATCCTCTCACATGAATGAAATAAATAAGCACAAGGCTGGGAAAAATGCTTATTTACCAAAACGTCCCCTGTAACACAGCAAACCAAGGGTCAAACTTGTTACAGTTGCATGATAGCCAGCATAATATTTTTGCTTGCTAAACACATTTGTTTTGCAATCTTCTCCTTTGTTTATAAAGGTAGACAATTATCTGTGATGCAACTTGAAAGGGCTGGTCAACATGTTGGTTACTGCCCTAACAAGTGTCCTTTTTAAAGAGGCTGCCTACTGCGTACGATCTTGGGACGCTGGAAAGAGCAGGGCATGGACTTTTTTTTTCCTCTGGAAAATTCTCCGCGCAACAAAACTTTCCTGTTTTAGTCATTCCCTGTTGATTTTGTGAGGACGTTTGTACCAGGTACTTGTCGTACAACAATCCTGCGGGCATTTCATATAGCGTGACTGGACGTCGTATAAAATACGCTTACGTGACAGCCTGCGGGCGAACCACGACTCCCCCGGTACATCGGCTAGGACGACGGGGAGATTCTGCTGCCATCGCTGCGTCGCAGATACCTACAGATGGGAAAGTTTTATAAGCAATTACTTTGATATATAAATGTTAGTCCTCCTTTTTCTCTTCACGACGACCATTCAGCTCGCACGGAGGACTCAGGTTTTCGGGGTACAAACACTCTGCATCAGTCAGGCCCCTGCGACGTGTTACATCTATTACGTAATTAATAGATACGCGCGGTCACGCTCACACAATTCGCTGGTGAATCGCGAAATAAACCTAAACCGGCCGCACGTGCAAAATAAGATCGGTCACGGGCGCAAAGTCATACACGATAAATACACGATAAATGCAGATAAAAGCAATTATCACATGATAAAAAAAGTCACAGCCGTCACAGAGAAGTAGGGCAAGGAGAACCTCCCCCATAATCCCTTCCCATCCCCCCTTCCAGTGCCTTCCCATCCCCCCTGAATCCCCACCCATCCCCCCTCACCTCAGATCCCTTCCCACAATCGCCTCCCGGCCCCAACCCCGGGGCGGTTGGTGCGGGCACGGCGCAGGGGAAGCCCCCGGCAGTGTGCAGCCCTGCCCCCGCGGGGCGTGTGGCGCGACACTGTTTGGGACCCTCGCTCGGGCACTGACACACCGCGCCCCGCCAGCCAATCGCGTGACAGCGCAGGAGGCGCCTTGCCGGCTCCCGCCCAATCGAAACCCCCGCTCTGAGGCTAGGGGCGGGGCTCCGCTGCCATCATGGGTGATTGCCACCCCTCTCCCTCTCTCTCTCCAGGCTCGGTTGAGCGAGCAGAGCTTAGCCAAGCAGGGTGGGTGACAGGGAGGAGGGCGCTTTGTTTACATCCGGGTCTCGCGAGAGCCGGCGCGAGAGCCCGGCGCACGTGGACGGGCGCCTGCCAATCCCTGACCCGCGGCCAATCGTGAGGGAAGGAATCCCCCAAGCCCCGCCCACTTCCAGTCGGCCTGAGCGCTGTTTACCTTCCGGGAGGGGGCGTGGGCGTTGTGCGTCATGACGCAAACCCGGAAGTCCACGGGGCGGCAGGGTGCGGCGCGTGGGCCAGAGAAGTCCAGGGCTCAGGTGAGTAGGCCCCAGCGCCCCGAGTCCGTCCTCAGAAGGCAGCCTGGGGCTCAGGTTCCCGCTGGGCAACAGCTGGTCCCCTCCCCCACAAAAAAGCTTTTATTCCTGAAGTGCCTAACCAGGAGAGAAGCATTTTAATATCATTTGAAGCATTATAATAAAGTGTCGTGTTTAGCCTTACTTTATTATAATGCTTCCAGTGAGCCTAAACACGTTATTATAATGCTTGAAGTGTTTAGGATCGCTTAAAGCATTATAAGAAAAGTGTTTTAGGGCTGTCAGCTGTGAATTTTGATACTTTTCTCTCATTTTTGAGTCACTCATCTCAGTAGAGGCAATTGATGTGTGTGTGTGAGGTTGGGCTGCAGTTGCTCTCGCTGCCTGTTAAGAGCAGAGGATAAAATTCATTATATAAAAATGGAGTAGAGCAGGGGTTCTCAAACTGTGGGTGGCAAGCCCCTGGGGCGTCGCAAGCAATGTATAAGAGGGCTGCAAACTTCCCGGGGGGTATGGATGGTGCAAACTCCCCATCCCCCGCTGCCACCATCCAGCACTCGGGGTCACGGTATCCCAAGGTTTGAGAACCCCTGGAGTAGAGAGCAACTGCTCTGGAGGTGAGTGTTCGTCAGCTTTCAGAATGGAAAACAAGGAGCAGGTGAATGAAATTGTGCTTGTGGGACGTAGGTGCATAGTTTGCTTGTATGTGTGTGCACAGCCATAATGCATCCCCCTCAACAATTCATAGTGCATACGAAGCCATCTCATTTAATCTCTGCTGAATTTACCCACGGCAAGTGAGATATTTAGCTCGGTGTATTGAAAAGATCCTTCCGTGTTTACAAAGACTTAACATCTCTCCAGTCTTACTAACGCGAAGCTGTTTGAATTTCTTGGCTATTAAGGATGTACTAAGTGCCTTGAAATATATGAATAAAAAAAGACTGCAGTTCATTTCATCAAAATGGTTAATAGGCAAGAGTCACAATTAAAAGTGGCAGTTAATAGTTCAGGCTTACACAAATATTATAGCTCAGTTGATCAGAGAAAAATCCCCCGTGTCTGTGCATATTTTTAAAAACTGTTTCCAAGTGCAAGTTTTTATACGATAAAAGTCCTGATCCCTAGTAAAAAAAACCCCAAATATTTGCAGTCCTCAGTTATTGTCCACTAGCAGTAGAAATACATTTCTTGTAGGGACCAGCCTAGACCTGCAGTATTTTAATCTACAAGGTAGTGTTGCATTCATTTCACGAAACAAATTGTGAATTTTCAGAAAGCCTTTCAGTCCTCTTATAATTTCTGTAACCATAGCAACGTGTAGATAGTGGAGATAATTTTAGCCCAGGGTTTTGTTGTTCCAGTAGCAGTGAACATAAGTCCAAAAATAGCTTCCCTAGCCACTGGCAGTTTCAAAATACTGGTTTCTCTTGCACATTTAAAAGCAGGTCACATACGGGAGCCTGACTACAGTTAGGTTCACATAATACAACTACATCCAGTATAAAATATCAAGCTGTATACTATCTGTAGCAAAACCAGCTAGCGGGTATTCTGTTTCATAGTCCATGTATTAAAATAAAGGAGGCACACGATGGCCAAACAAACCCCATGCAAACTGAAGTGGTCAACCCAGAAGAAATATTTAAAAGAGAAAAACTTGGTGAAGATAGGAAAATTTAGTAATCAGAAATGTGCCAACCAGAAGGAAAAGGCTTAAAATGCAGTTGTTGCTAGTATTGGTTAGATACCTTCAGGGAAACAATGCAACCTTTACCCAGGATCCTATTTCCAGCCCATTGGGACCCCAATAGAAAAAAAAACAGTCCATCTATGTAACGTTGGGACAAAAATTTCATATTATCACATGGTTTTCTTTTTCAGAAGAGTTAGCGGGAAGTCCAGACCCTTCTGCTAATATGCATTGTTTGGATAGTAAAGGTTGGTTAACTTCATTTATGCTCAACTCATTTCTCATGTTAAAATATTTTACTGTTAGTAATGCTGTTTGTTGCAGTGGCACTTACTGCATGAAGAAACAGCAAAGCTATAGCAATTTCCCACTGCAGTCCAACATCCAGGTTATGAAACTCTTGACTTTGAGCTCTTGTTAAATTGGCCCAATTCCCGTGTTTGAGGGCTCGCTTCCTGCTGGAAGCATGGCTGGAACCGATCCAGCCCTAGCGTAAGTAGTAAATGCTCACAGAAAGAACTGAGCATCTAGACACTTGGGTTCTTATTTTTCACCTCAGTTTGAGTATATGCAAGGTACTTCACCTCTTTGTAGTCCAGCACACCTGTTCATTAAAAGGCTATAATACTCACCTCATGGGGTGTGGCAAGAATTGAGGTTTCTGAAGTATGTTCAGTCCCTCTGGTCATCGGGAACAATAGTATTACATTCATTATGTTTAATTAAATACTTTGGTTAGTTGGTCAACACTTGTTTTCAAAACAATTATCTTCATGTTGTAAAGCAAATAAAAAGGAACTACTGTAATTAGCCACCAGCCTCAAGCACTGTTCACTGGTTCTAACATATGCACCCTTTGAATAAAATGGAATGGATTACTGAAGTCTTGGTATTTTCTCATGGTGCTGGAAGCCCCTTGTGGGGGGACAGTAAGATGAACCACCTTGCTGGAAGTAGCTGAGCTACCTTCAGATCAAAGTGGAATAGTGCTCTGATGTCATTATTGTTGGCCACAAGGATTTCATTTAAAAAATCCGTTCACAATACTGAAGGCTCATTTTGCCAGGGATCAAACTTGATTCAGTGAAGGTGTTGCTAAAGAGACCTGGATGATGCCTGCCTTGTCCTAGCAGTTAAACTGGGACTGGTTCTAAAAAGCTAGAGTTGTTTGATGACACCAGAACTGCAGCAGCTCCTCCCTCTGGTGGATACAAGCATGAAAGAACATCCTATTCCTCCTCCCCTCCAGTTTTTCTCTGCCAATTGAGTTCATATAGGGCCCAGCTGGGAAGTACATCAAACTTGCACAAAAAATGGTAGATACTTGCAGGGACATCAACTCCCAAAAGGTAGGCAGAATATTTTTAATTGTAGAATTAGTGGCAGTCTCTCTAGCTAGTGATGGCTAGAGATTGGAAGATTAAGGAACAAGTCACAGGTGGGAAGGAGAACTGGTATTGAAACAAAGGCTGTTAACTGTGGGGACTAGTTTTGTATTTGCAACATTACTCATGGATAAGCATTTAAAAACTTGAGCTTTGAATTTCAAGACGCTGCACATATTTTAAGAAAAAGGCACCCCCAGCAAGTTTTCACTTGTTTTATTTAGGTGAACATACATGTGGTCTACATATGCCATAAAACCTGTAAATCATAAAATAATTTAAGAATTTAGGTTGGAATAATATTAGCAGCACCACTAGTTACTGAAATGGCAGAAATGTCATGCCTTTGAGGCACACATTTGAAAGGGATATACTGTCTGCGTAAAGATGTCATCAGTCCTTCCAGGAGAATGGAAATGCTTTTTTGTAGGACAGTTTGGGGGCTTAGGTTTCTTGGAAAATATAAGAGACACTTTTTTGCTAAATACTTTTGACGATTAAGGTTACAAAAGATACAACTGAATAAGATACTGCATAGTATTTTAATTAAGATAAAGAAATTGACACTGAGCTGTGTAAAGCAAGACTCAACATCTCTGCTTCCACATACATTTCATTTCTGAGTAGAGAAATCTAAACTTTAAAAACAAAAAATAGACCTAGTGTATTCTCTAGAAGACACACTTTGGGTAGAACGTATAATACTACGAAAATACATCTCTTCCATTTTGTTTAATAATTTACTTTAGGTAAAAAGTTGTGAAATCCTCATCACAAGAAGCTTATACAAATTCATGACTTGAGTAAATTAACAAAAAAGATTAGATTTTTTTAAAACAAGGTTTAGCCCTGTTGTAAAAATTATACAAAGGAAAAAAAGACTACATTTGTATGAAGGAATACAAATTTACACACATTTTACAGTGACTTGATACCCTACACATCTACAAAATTCACAGTTATAATACAAGCAAGTACAAGGCTGGGATAAAGCTGTTTGATACCAAAAAAAAAAAAAAAAAAGTTTCCTACTTAAAAAAAAGAGGAAGAGTTTCAAACTTTTGCAACAACTTCTAAATTCTAATCAGACCAAAATATGCTCCATTACATACATACCCTTCAGCAAACGCATACTGCTTTTCTCGGCTGGTGGAACAGTGAGTTACCAAGCTTCTTCTGGCCCCGTAGGCTTCGCCGCATGGTGAGCTTGTTCGAGTTTTTGCGCTGGGGAGTTGTGGACAGGCCTTCTGGTTGGACAGCAATGCTGCGACTCAGGGTACGCCTTGGCTTCTTCACAGCCGGGCCAGAATTGGATTCTTCTAATGTCCTTTTAAAGTTTGCTGGGGGTGTCCTCTCTGTTTCTTGGGCTTTTGTCTGACTGTTAGGAGACACCTTGAAGCTTTTTTGGTCCGTGCTTGAGTTTGCTGAATTGGAAGGTGAGAGGGTAACCGACAAGCCATTGCTGTAAGATTCATGTATCCTCAAAGCTAGCGCTTTGCTGCAGTTCTCCTCCTGCAGGCCTGGATCCTTAGAGGATGCTACCACTGATGGTAGACTGCTTCTGGCAATCTCACTGGTCAGCTCAGAATATTTATCTAAGATCATGTTACTATGTATGAGGGAGGGAACAGACTCAGGGGAGTTCAGTCGTGGCCATGGATCCTCATCTAAAAGCTGAAAGGAGAAAAAAAGAAAAAAAAAAAACCCAGAAAATTAATTATGCCAAGATATGCATACCTGTATTGCCCCAGGCCATGGCAGAAGTCAAGGGTTCTCTGGGCTCTATATGCCGCGTTACTGAAGCTTCTTAGAGAGACAGAGATCTCCCAACTCCAGATGCAAACACTTATACTTTTTCTGGGGCGGGGACAGGAATTATGGACGCAATTTGAGAGCTCCACCTGTGTACAAGTGTGACATCTATTTAAAAATCATAACATCTTTCTGACATCTATTTAAAAATCTCAGATCACAGATAATAGGTCTGCCATTCGGTCTTTCAGAAGGCTATCTTGGCCTTACTAAGCATACGTGTGTTTTTTCTTTTCAATGGTATACAGTTAAAAAGCAAATCACTGATTACACGATCAACTTGCAATCTTTCATTGTGTCGGAAGCCCAGAGTAGAGAATGATGTGCGTAGCATGTCCCACACACTCCCAACCCTCAGGGATCTCGTTTGTAAAAACAAAGACGCTGCTTCCATCCTTCAAAAGCATCATGGCAATGTCTGCATAGTGTTCTTAAGATTAAAAATACCCTTGAATGGCCAAGTATGATTAGGACAGATCAGCAGAAGCCCTAATAATACTATCCATAAAGTCTATGACAGACATTTATGAAAGACATTTTAAAAGGTTATAACTTCACTCTGTTCCAGCGCCAACAACCGTGTAGGTTCCCCATTTTGAAGGGATCTGGGAATGCTTCTTTAACATCCTCAATTATATTTTTGAAACTGGTTCTCTATCAGACTTTTATCTTAGCAGTATCTTACATAACATGTTATGCCATGAGAGTGGTATTGCTCAATGTAGATTTGGTTACACAAACAGGAACATTAAAGGAGGAAGCTGAAGAGTTTGGGATGATGTGGGACGAAGAAGAAAAAGCAACACACAGGACCTGAATCAGGCAAGATTCATTCCTGGGCAATCAGCTGCAGACAGCACTAAGCTGGATTGATCTGGACAACTTCAAAAAACATTTTTTGATTCTAGAACAGGACAATTCAGTGCTCTCCACTCTTAATAGTTGAGCCCCTCACCACAGATCTGAACGTTCATATTAAAAAGAGCCCCATCAGTAATATCTTCCTATCTGCTGATATTTCACACCCATAATACAATGTTAATGATGAGCTCAGGCTAGTAAAATTCACATGACCCATTTGAATGGGTCAGTAATGCAGCTAATTTTGATCAGAAGCTTCCCTGAAGTTTTAGGTACTATGGTTCTGATCCTTCTCATCAGTAGCAGCCTTAGGGGAGGTCAAACCAGGTGACTGCCCAGGCCCCCACACTATAAAAATTAATTACACTGAATATCTGTATTATCAATATTGTATTAAGATACTTTCACTGCAGTTTGATAGATAGGGCAAAGTGAAATTGAAAGTGTCCGACTTGCTTCTAGGTCATCAAAATTAAGCCTCAAATGACACTCTTGCCCATGGTACCAACAACCCTAAGGCCACCACTGCTTCTCATGATATGGTTATTAAAACACCTGTTTTAGTTCCAGTTTGCTAATAGACAACAAATACTTATAGTCTTTCCCCAAATACAATAATGCCAAATTTTTGACAGAAAGGAGCTCTCCTAGTTAAAAGAGACATACTAAATCCTGCAGATCTTATTCCTGCCAAGCACTTGGTAAAACAGAGCTAAGTACCTGGGTGTGATATCTCAATGTTGTGCTTGGAAAGAGCATGAATTTCAGGACAATATGGTCACCGTTGAGGCCTTGTCTCCACTACAAAGCTTTGCTTACAGAACTCTACTTCTGCCAGCAAAACTCGAAGTGCCTCAAATCTCTTGTGTAGGGGCACAGCCTTCCTTTTTGCCAGGAAAGTTACTCCACATCTGCCAAGCAGTGTAAGGCTTCTGCCTCCCTCCACAAAGCCAAGAGAATGGATGTGCAGACTCCCTTCAGCACCCCCAAGGTGCATGTGACACTGTGGTGGCACAAGTTCTGAGCAGAACCACACAGAGGCACTGGCAGCAGGTAGGTGTGCATGTGCTTGACAGCCTGGCACTGATTAGACGGCCACCCCTCCCAACTTGTTCACATAGGAATAAACCCCTCTAGCACCTAGACTGTATACACTTGAACTGCCTCCCCCATACCTTCGCAGTACTAAAGTCAAGAGCTTTGAGATGACAAACTCTAGGACTGTTTCCCTAATGTTCCCCCTCCGCTCCCGCATTCTCAGAAGGAAAATTCTCTCAAAGCAATTCTGTGCTCTGGTGAAAATGTACTTTCTAGTTGGACATGTGGAAAATTAGAAGCTCAATCGAGAGTCAAACTTTGCTATATATATCTGCAAAAAATCTGGCCACCAAGCTGGCTTGAAGGGACTGGACAACAGCATTGTTTAGAAAAAAAAAAAAAAGAGTTGTACTGATTTTGCCTTGCCAAATATACTGGCTGCAACATTGCAGAAATGACTTCCACTGTATTTCTGATATACAGTTTGATGGGCACAGTGAAAACCAGATCAGCCCCTCACTGACTCAGAAGAAATTAAAAATTAGGGACATTTACATAATCATTCAGATAAAGTAACGTTAGGGCAGTGGAATTCACTGTCAGAGTGTGTCAAATACAAGACCGCAGTACAGTCCGGAGAGTTTCAGGACACAAGTCTCATCCTTCCTCACAACTGGGAGGGACTGGAGAGGTTCACTTTCTCCCAGAACACCACGTATGAAGGGGTGCTGAAGGCAGAAGTCTGACTTCGACTCTGTGATCGATTATATTCCTCACAGGTCAAGTTCATCTGGACTTTTAAAACTGAGCTGATTTAGTTTAATAAGCCTGCCATTTTACTACTGAAGCAATGCACTCCTCCTCTACCCGTGTCCTGGGTCTCGTAAGTATTATTTTAGGTTTCGTGTCATTTGACTTCCATAGAAACTAGGGCTGCCTTTCCCATGCCTGAATTTTACCCACCAGAGTCGCTTAAAAGCAGTGCACTGTTTGAATGGAAAACCTTGCTGGCCGACTATCCTATAAATCTGAGCGTGGAAATCTGCGCTCCTTGCCATCACTGGCTTCTCAATGAACTGAAACGCTTCTCCCCATGGTAAAAACAAAAAAGAAAACAAATAAAGCAACATATTACTCAAGCCAATCTAACAAATTGAATGCACATGCAATCTCCTTTTTTGGGCTCTCTCAAAAAAAATACACCAGAGGACACAGCTGCAGAGACATTCCATTTATTCTGATCTGCCTAGAGACGTTTCTTTTTCCTTAAATGTCTCAAGATTATTCTGACAGGGCAGTGGCAATGTTTTCTTTCTGTCTTTTTCCACTTCCTGCTTGCATTTGTTCTTTTCCTTCCAATTCTATAGGTATTCTGTGAGGACAGATGGTATTGGTTACTAAAGCAGCCACCTACGCTAACTCTAAGCATTACATTAGCAGTGTATTATATGCATTCTTTTCATTCAGAAAATCAAATAAGGGAGGAATGGGATCTTATCTTTTTTAATGGGAAATTAAACTGCAAAGAAGGGCAAAAGAAAAAAAGCATGCTGTATTAAATTAATGTAGATAAAACACACTGAACTGTAACTAGTGTATACTTGTGGCCAGCTAAGATTTTGAATCCTAAAAGAAAAAAAATAAAAAAAAAAAAAAATTAATAAACCCAAGAGTTGTCTGTATGGGGAAAGTGTGTCCCTAGTATTTATAGCAGAGAGCATTATTCCACTGCAACTGTTGCAGAATAGCTCCTCATGTCAAATAACTAAGAATAAGTGGCTTTTTGGCTCATAAAACAGAGTAAATATTCTGGAACAAGTTTCTTTTATTCTGGACTAGTGTGTACTACACATGGCGAGCTATTCCAAAGTAACCGTTCAGATCCACGTTCCTAGGTAGACAAGCTCCAGAACAAACACAGCAACGTTTAAACACAAGTCTCAGCTGTTAATAACTTGGTCTGTAAATAGACATTGCATTTGTCCCAGAAGAAAGCTTTCTGTCTCGGGTTCCTACAGACATACAAACTATCCTACTTCAAGTCCCATGGAAGCATACGGGACAAAGTGTGCCAACTCTTTTTTCCTGGAACGTGGCTGTGTGCTCCTCTCTGGTGGAGGAACAGCAATGCAGCTTGGAAAGGCGATCTATGTAAATGCCTGTGATATACCTGTTTTGATCCAGGTCAAATGGGATAAAAATCAGACCCATGTCAAATGAAATGTCTATTTACAGCTTTAGGGGACCTCTACACGTGTCCGACGCCTGCTCCAATGCGTGCTAAGTAGCAGATGTTGGAGCTGACTCAATTAATCCAGTCGGCTGGAGCGCACTAATTAACATACTCCAGCAGCCTCAGCACCACGTGTATTCATCACCCCCACTGCCATTTTGCAGCATGGGATGCTGAATGTACCAGATGCTGCGGGTGTTTTAATTAGAGCAGCTCCCAAGAGCCACTCTTAAATTGCCCCCCGCCCCTCATCCCACCTCGGAGCATATGTAAAGACACCCTTAGTGCTCAGCTCCTAGATGAAGGAACCATGCCATGGTAAATGTGCCAAGGTGCTGGATTGCTCCAAAAACTGCACCAGGACTGTAATGAGAGCACCTTCAGTTCATTAAAACAGCCTTGTTCTACAGCATAGAGCTTAAAGGCAATTTGAAGTGTGCCCTTTAGAAGCACCTGTGCCATTAAAGAATGATACTCCCCTGGCTAGAGTTTTGATCTAGATCTTTCACTGACTTAGGTACCAGTCGACTATCAGCGAGCGCACAGATTTGTACTCTTGACAGTGTATTGCATGTACTTATGTGAGAGAAATGCAGAGGAAAAAGAAACCTATTTTGCCGAGTCCTTATATTAAATGTCCTTGGATATTTTCAGTTGAAGTGCACCTCACACTTTCCCTTCACAAGTTATAAATAATTCAGACGTTAAAAACAATATACACACCCCATCTGAAATTAAGGTATAAACAGAGTTCACATCAGTTCTCTCCACATTAGACACTGGGATAGCTGTGCTTTTGCAATGGACTTTGGGATCCTTCCTTGCACTTTCCTGCTGCTGCTCAATGGCCAAAAAAGCCCCAGGGCTGTCTTATTAGCCGTCTCTCTCTGTATCAAGCAAATGTTAAGTACTCTCATCCTAATCTTTGTTTTTCCATTTTACTTTGCCTAAAGGACAGCTATTCAAAGGCATTAAATCACATCAAAGCACTATTCAAATCTGTGGCAACTGGCAATTACTGAAACAAACATCCACTCACAATTATACCCTGGTCTTTAATAGCAAAATAGCAAAGCGCTTCCCAAGGCACAGCTCAACATCAACCAAGGTCCCAATGCAAAGGATGAGCCTGTAAAATAAGGTCTTTCCTTTAATGAAGAAAATTAACTTGATCAACAGATGCAAAGCAGCAGCTCTCTCAATCTGAAAATAAAGTACTTCTAAAACCAGTAATCATTTCTCTATTTATATAGCATGGGGAGGAGAAACGGATGCACTACTAAAAAGGAGGGATTCTGTACACATAAGCTTCAATACCAAGCTTTTGAAAACAAATACCAAACACCATTCTAACTACCATTACTGACTGCAGCCTTGGTTTGACTAGTCATTCAAAGTGTCACAATTTTAGGGGTTAAGAGACTCAGTATCCCCAAATCCAATAATTCAGACCTCACACTCTCCCCTTAGCATCCTGTAGACTTAAGCAATCGAAGAATGTATAGCAAGAAAGTTCACACACTTCTCCCGTTACATTTGGGAATGGCAACATGAAATAGGAATAAGGCAAACTTTCAGTACATACCAAGCTATGCTTTGAGGGAAAGAAAAAAGGGGAGACCAATGCTACAAATGGTTTGAGATTCAGATTAAAATAGGAAAGACTTGGACTGATGAAGAAACTTTACCTTGACTGGAGGGGTGCAGCAGCGGGAAGGCGTCATCACACACATATCAGGACTGCTATAGCGGGGGCTCTCTGACAAGTTGAGATACAATTCTTCTTCATTTTCCAAGTTGCTCTTATTCTGCTGTAATGGCGAGATGCAAATTACGATGGCACTAGTGTTATCTGCACGAAGCATGCGCTGCCTCCACCGGCCCAATGCTCTGTTCACCAGCATTTTGGCACAAGACTGCCTGTGCTCTCCCTGTAATGTTAAAAAATAAAAACAAAGACACACACAACAAACAGAGAAAGTCATCACCAATTTATTTTGTGAACACAAGCAAAAGAAATTCTCTGTCCTCACACTAAAAAGTACCTGCATTCAGAAAAATCTCCATCTAAGAAACAGCATGGAAAAGTCACAAATTGTATGACTAACGTGCAAACTCCAATTCCACTTATTATAGTGAAGCTCAGTTTAAAATGATGTTACATGGACAAAAACTCAAATACTTATTAATTATGATTAATGATTTTTTTAAAGGCAATGTTTAAGTCATTGTACATTGGCACCAGGTTTGGTGAATAAATATAAAAATTACACTGTTATTTCAAAAATAAAAATAAGGCTCTCAAGCTCTTCAAGCAAAACATAGGATCTACACAAATCAGTTGGCTGTGGTTTGTTGCTTGAAGTACATTATAGCAAGACTGCGACTCCAAGGGGCTGTACATCCACCTCAAAATTCCTTTAGAGGTCTTTTTGGGGGGCACGCTACAAAATGATGCTCAGGACTTCCATCCTGTACATATTCATGGTGTTATTTATAATGAAACAGGAATAATATCACTTGAAGCCATGGGGTTTTGGATAAACCCCACAAAGACTCTAACCTGCTTTAGCTGCACTGATTCATATACTCCTCGAATATATGATAAGTATTTCTACACATTGTTTTGCACTGTTTTATCCTACAGGTAAAACAACCTCTAGTATTTAATAGATACCAGCCTGGCATCTAGATTCCCAAACCATGATAGAGCCAAGTTATTTACTTGAGAAAAAAATCTTATGGTTAGTACCTACATTCCACGAGAGGTGTTAATATACATCATAACCAACAAATCTGACAACATATGCTAGCCTGCTTGATTTATCATCACTGTAGCAACTCCATATATGTTGTACCAGAATTATTAAAGTAGCAATAGTGAAAGATGTCTCTACTATGTAGGCCTTTAAAAATGTGCTATGGCAGACTAACCCAGCAGCTTTTAGTGGAGTCGAACAGGAAAAAAAAAGTTAATAAGCTATCATCTCTAAAGCAGCTGACCAGATCAATCTGTCCTCACCATAAAGTAATTTTTCTCCTCATGGTCCTGGCACATAGAAATGGCATCCTGCGGTGGGATCATGTTCCACAGTCCATCGCTGCCTAGAATAATGTATTTGTGTTTCTGCGGATCAATCGTGTGGACACTTGTGTCTGGCTCAGGAGACACAACAAATTCACCACTGTAGAAGTCGTAACTCCACAGATCACCTAGTGAAGAGGAAAGCAAGGTGATGCTTGCAAGACAACTGTCAAGTAAAAACTTGTGGGACAGGAACCACAGACAATTGTTCCCACCAAGCCCCCTTTTCGAGCAGTGTTAATTACAGGGAAATCCCAACATAACTCTTACCAGTACACTGCAAAGTGATACAAGTTCCTGTTAGTATTTTTACTACTGAACGTGTGACTTACTAGCAAGAAGTATGGCCTGATATTTTTAAGATACATATACACACAAACAGTGAACTGGAAAGACACAGATGTAAAGCGGAATACATTAAGTGTAAATTGCAACAGAGAGAGGTACATTGTCCAGGGTAACTCTTTTCACTTACAGTACAGGGCTCTTATGCAACTAGTAATAACCTTTTTCAGACAAAGAGGTAGTTTTTTAAATAGGTCAATCTAAACCAAGAGTAACATTGCTGATATGCTACTCTCTCTTGCCTTTTCTTTCCGAATCCAAGCGTATGCTTTCTAAACAGGGTGGATAAAAATCAATTATTTAAAAAAATAAATAAAGCAGATTTTTTTACTTAAATGTTTTTATTTAAATCGTATTTTTTTAAGATGCTTTTTTAAAAAAAATAAACCTTTATAAAGATAGTTTTACTTTAAGATACATAAGAGCTCAAAGATATTATCATGGGATAGGGATTATAACTTCTAATTATATTCTATTTGAGACAATATATTTATGTAGCCTTTTTAGAAAAGTTTTATAATAGGTCACAACAGGCCATGGACTATATTAGATGCCCAATCTTAATGGGGTTCCCAGAGGTTCCTCTATAGATTCGTAAAGATTAGAAAACCACTCCACCCAATGAGACTCAGTGCTCAGTGTAGAAGATCCCATTAAGCATCTCTGCGATGCTTAGTTTCAGTTCTCAAACTGTGGATCTGGGTCTCTGGAGATAATATCTTTGTTAACAGCAGTATATGGACATGAGAGATAACAGACCCGATTTAGCTACCCATCAGTCCTATTGTCTCTCTGCAAGTTTATGCGCACACAGTCAAGCCCTTACATCTCTCTCTAAAAGTGCAAAGTTTCAAGAAGTTAAATGAACAGAGGATTGTTGGGGGTGGAGTAGATCTGGGCAAGGAGGAGGAGTCTGGAGATAAATGCAAGGAGGGAGGGGCAGTAGAAATAAAAGAGAAACATTTTGAGCAGAATATTCCCGAAATTTCTGAGCATAGCCTCTCCACTGATTTGAGATCTAGTGAGGGAATGGTATGGTAGAAAGGAAAACCTATCATGACAGCAGGCTTGCCAGGCTGTAAGAGAGACCCTGTTTGGAAATATTTTAATGAAGGTTATATATCAAACAAGAATGCACCTTTTGTAGAAAACAATGATTCAATCAAGGCTTCCTGACCAGTGATTTAAGCCAACTTGATTTAAATCAAATCCACTCCGTTTCTAAAAGGTCCACTTTGGACTTCAGTCTAGTGGAGACGTTTCCCATCTTTGGTATCATTCTGTACTGTGCAAAGAGAATGAAAAAGGAGGATTCTTCTTTTTCTTCTACTGCTCACTGGACATTTGAGATTAACAAGGAATCCAGCATGATCTTTAGTACCACGTTCTACAAATATTGATAAGGATATCCTGCACTGACCACATGCTCTTAAAAATACAAATCCATTCAACTGTTAAGAGCTGAAAGATGTTTAAATGCTAAAGAGTCCTTCAGTTTAAAAGCCAAAATTGCTTCCTGACTCAAGCCTTCAGTAAGTGTAAATGTTTGTGCCTTTTTCACAGCATTCTGACCTCTTCCTCCCCTTCCCCTTCCTACCAAGTCCCTTTAAAATAATAAAAATATGCCTTTGTTCCTGCTTCAGGAAGTAAGTAGACTACTCCATTAGCTTCGCTTAGGGCTATCAACCAGTTGAAAAGGTTTTTCAAGGACAAAAAAAAAAGAAATACTTCAAATCAATTACTCCACTCCACTATGGCAAACACTGATGGCCCGTTCCTCATTAAAGAGCCAATTCACCTTCACAGCGGCAGCAGACAAAAAACACATGCTTCTACTAAATGCTAATTAAAAGCCCAGCCTGCTTACATAGAGGCACTCTCTCCATCAGCAGACTGGTACAACAAAGCTCACTGACTGGCAACAAGATCAAAATAAATACTGTAGCAGCAGAGCAGAGCTCCAACACAGCAATTACTGTGCACGTAATTGCCACTAAAAGTTTCCATAGATCTCCAATTTTTGTTCAAATCATGCCTGCGTGGCCACAATGGGTAAGATTGTATGCCTGTATTTATCTTCTTTTATAACAATATTTTGATGCCCTCACTAGAACTCCAAAGTCAGTACAGGCGTCAGGCTGAAGCATAGGGTTTTTCTGGTTGTTTGTTTTAACTTACCAAGGACTGATCACAAATTTATTTTTGATATCACTTCTTTATCTCCTTTATAGTGGATTTATAAAGAAAATGTACAATGTGATGAGCCCCCTAAGTGCCCTAGCAATCAAGTATTTACAGTTAAAATAAGTACACCAGTCCTGTAGCACAAAAGCCACCCTATTTTCCATAGACAAAAATCAGCAGATCCGGTGACGTCTAGATTGACAAGACCCCTTTACACACGTAGGTAAAGGTGCAATGGGATCTCATGTATGATTCACACAACTATGCTTGTCCATGGCAGGAGACGTGATGGTGGGATCATGCATTAGATCCCATCGTGCCTTACAGCTGGTCCCAGACTCCCCCTGCAGTGGCATGAAACAAACTCCCACAGCTGGGAGCCCCATGCACCCCAGTTGAGGGGTTCCCAACCACAAGGGCACCCCCCAGGGCCAAAGGATCAGCGCAGGGGCATGAACGCCCTGGACCCTGAGGATCCCTAAGGTTCAGGGGGTTTACGCCAGGCAGGGCATACCCCTATGGCCAGGAGCCCCCTCAGCTGATGGGGCTCCCAGCCGAAGGGGAGACCCCGCTACACATGAAAATTAAAGCTCAATAGCAACCTGCTATAAAGTTAGTACACATTTTTGAGATTTAACTTTATAGGTAAATATGGTTGGAGCTTTCTATTGTGCAATAGCCACTTCGCACATGTAACTGGTCTCCAGGTAACTGCACAATTAACCAGTTACTTGTGCAATGCCTGCAATGTGTAGAAGGGGGCCTCAGGATCTGAAAGACGGCACAGCTGAAGATGGAGGGCAGTAGGTTGTTTTACATGCGCAGGTTTCAGTCACGATTAATACAAGACCTACAGCAATTTATGTTTTAACGTTAAAAAAGAAAACACTATAGAACTTCAAATATGTGGTTCGCAACCCCAGCGTCTGTTACTTTGCATCCTTTGTGCTATAGCAGTGCCCTTTTTCTTCCCCGCGTACCACCTCCCGTCCTAACCAGCATCTTCCAGTCAGACTAGCACAATGCTGGCATAAATTATCCCCCTCTACTGCAGAAGCAGCTAAAGATAATGCAATCCACTCGCAGCATGTTTGGACAGAGCCAGAGGATGCTCACCATGCCATTTCATAATCATGTCTGCACTTGCTCATGTGGTAAGCACCTGTGAATTATTGGCAGCAAACCTGTTTTCAGAAAGTAAGAGACACCCAAATACAAAGCCAGGTGTGGAGCAGACCTAACACTATAGAAACAAACCAACTGCATAGTATTTACATGAATTCAGAGAGCTCCTGAAACTCTTTTCACAAAATAGTTAAGACCTCCTTTTTCTACCTTTTCAAATATGCAAACGCTATAATCCAAGCCCAAAGAACTGAGCAGTCTGCAGAAAAGGGGAAAAGCCAAAGCTTTCCTTGATATTTTTGGAGAGTTGCTTCTTGTGGGATGTACACCCAATAAATGCTACATTACTACAGCTAAGAGAGCTGAAGTGCTGAGAGCTGCTGTCAACTGAATTCTCAGTGAGACTCGAGCACAAGCACAAAGCTGTTCCAGAGTACTATACCAGAGTGCCACTGCTTTGAAACTTCATGGCACATAACCTAAAAGCACACTGGAATAGTGACAGGCTCAACAACATGCCACAAGTTCTCATCCTCTGCTTCTGCGGGCAGTCATCCTTGCTACATTTATGAACACACTGATGAAGAGTATCATAAAAGAGGAGGCAGAGGGAAGTGAGAGCAGATGTAGAGCAGCAGACTAGGTGTCAACTTGCAATTTTTAATCTACCTCTGACCTACTCTGTGACCTTACAAGACGCTCGGCCCGGTTCCTCCACTGGTTCCAAGGGGCAGCTCTCTACAATACATGGTAGATCACTGATGCTTGTAAAGGATTTCGAGATCCTCAAATAGAAGGTGGCACTACAGAAAGACAAAGCATTTTATCTTGTTGGTCCCAATTCCCAAAGGGACTGTGGGCACAAGGACATTTAGTGACTTGCCCAAGAGCACACGGGAGCCCTGTGCAAGCACACAAGGAGCAGAACTCGCATCTCCTACATCGCAGGCTGAATCCTTAACCAAGTGGTTCTCAACCTTTTCAGACTTGAGGTACTCCTTGGAAAATGCCAGTTCTCAGTTTTCATTCTTTTTTTGCCTACAGAAAATAACAGAGCAGTTTTTCTGTTGCAAAGAACCCAGAAAGACCACAACTATGGATTTTTATTTGAAGTCTCTGGGTTTATGTCATGAATGTTAGCACTGTTAGGTTTACAAACTGTGACACACGCCACTGAACTCTTGAAAGGATCTCAAGGCACACCAAAGTGTCATGGCACCTTGATTGAGAATCACTGCCTTACACACAAACCCATCCTTTCCATGGAAAACTCCCCAGCATTTATCAGTCTTTCCCTTAGATCAAATCCCTTCCTAAGGGTAACCTACACTTATCTGAAAAGCAGTAGGCAAGATGCAGGATTCATCTGGTGAAATGTTATGCCCCGTATTATGCAGGATGTCAGACCAGATGATCATATTAGCCTTACAGCTTCATGATTCTGGCTAATCAGAGCCATCTTACTTTTGTTAGC